ACAGAGTGAGTTCCAGGACAGGCTCCAAAGCAATACAGAGAAACCCTGGGGAGGAGGAGGTAGGGGGAGATCCCTCTTTAAATTAACGAGGAGGTCAATTATACCTTTCTTTATCATTTTATGTTGGAAAAGTACATTCCTCTAAACTATACTGTTTTCAAAGACCTTGAATCAAGAAATTCATACTAATTATTCAATCATTCACAGTATCATATAATCTCAAATATACTAGTATATGTATATACAATCAGTCCATCAGAATCTTTGAAAAAAACAAATGAATTACCTTTAGTGTGATATACAATAGCAGCCCTCAGGTCAAAAGAACCCCAGCTATCATTCCTTTCTAGGCCTCTCTGGTATCTCTGTTCTTTGGCGGAGCCTAACAAAGTGTTCGTAGGAGAGGCCAGAGGATTTTGATTTTCTATTTCGTAGTCCTTTGAGAGAAACACTAAAGCACCTTGACTACTGGTGTCTGCTTTTTGCAGGTCACCTATATGACTGGGTTCCAAGGATAAGGCTCCACTCTCAGTAGTCCCAGGTTTTAGAATGTTACCCAGAACTTGAGGACTAGTCCGTTTTTCCAGCTCATAAGCCTTGGGAAACACAGGATGCTCAGTTCCTGAGGGAATTATTTCAGCACCCTGTGAAACCAAAGTGGCAGGATATTCTCCTTGAAATGTCACTTCCATCACTTTAAGATCTGATGACTTTCCAGTAACAGTCTCTGGGCCAGCACTGGGCTCATTTATAAATGATAAACCCCATTGATTTTGGAAGATATCCCCCAGGTTTTGCTGATCTGTCTGAGAGGGCAGATCTACTTGTGCGGTGCTTAACAGCACCGTTTGCATATTTGAAGGGTAGATAAAAAGGCTAGACTTAATTTGCTCAACAGCTGCTGAAGTCAGACTTATGTCCTGAAGAACTGAATCAGTCCCAGTAGAGATGGGTGTTAAAGTACTAGCAGCAGTAGTTAGCAGTGGCTGACCCCCTGATGGATACACATTTCCATCAGTTCCTGCTAAAACAGGCCCATTAGAAAAGTTGGCAGAAGTAACAGATTTCAGAGCTGACATGGGGACCTGGGATAATCGACTTGAAGATTGGGTCTGAGTTTCCCCAGTAGATAGTGAAGAGGATGACGATGAGGATGGTGACACAGAAGAGTTCTGTACAGTTTTGTTGAGGTTTTCCTTAACTTTGCTTGCATAACTTATTTTAGGAACTATTTTAGCACTGCTATTGTCCACTGGAAAAACTGGGGGTGGTTTAAACAAGGTCCATGAGTCCTCTTTGGAGGCAGCAGCTGAGGCATGCTTTCCTTTAGGCCGATCATCAAACTTTTTGCTGCTCAAACCAGGTTTAATATCTGAGCTTTTACGAAGTGTGTCTCCCACAGCAGGTTTTCCACGACTTGTTCCTCCAGGCCCAGTCTCATACTTCCAAATAGGCTTCGAACCATCTGCTCGAGTTCCTTTTTGTTCACTATAGTCAGGCTTTAAACTTTCAAGTCCCTGTTTTAATGCTGGGACACCAGTCTCTTGCATTATTTTGTCCTGCACTAAATTAAGGTTTTCACAACCCTTGGCACTATTGCGCCTAGCTTTCCTTTTTTTAGGAGTAGTATATCCACTCTCAGATCCGCTACCATCATTATCTGCTCCTTTGCCCATATAACCATTAGTAATATAGGCTGAATTATTTGTTATAACACCATTTGGAATTGCTACGTCGTTCTTATCTATCGCCTGGTTCTCTCCAGATTTGTTTTCGTAAGACTTCCCATTCTTTTTGTCCATACTGTTTTTCTGAATAAAATTCTTGGTTTTAATTCCTGCTTTTCCAAAGGTGCTGGTCTTTACAGTCTGCTTCAGGCTAGGGTCTACAACTTGCTGGTTGCCATTGAGGACCCTAGAAATAGGGTTAGTAGCTTCATCAGAACTGAGGCTCTTTAAAGATATTTCTCCAGCATTACCATTTATTTCACCATAGCCTACAGAAGGAAAAGAAAAACAAAACAAAACACATTTAAATCACATTAGTACTGAAGACTAGAAATTGCTTATTAAATACCAGATACTATGCTGTAGGGTTTGTTACCTCATAACACCATGAAAAGAAAATTGTCAGCACCATATCACAGATTATGAATTCATTGGTAGGCAGAGTTAGGACATAATTCACATCAGGTCCATCTACTGGGCCACTAGCCAGAATTAACTAGAAAGAACAGGACCTCTCAAGCAGCATGCCATAATACTCCTTTAGATTATCTAAACAGAATAAACCTAGACATTATGGCCATGAGGCTATTATAAAAATTTCCTCACAATTAATTAAATGCAATACAATCCAGGCGGGTATAGTACCTGCCTGCAATTCCAGCACACTGAAAACTAAGGCAAGATGATTGCATGTTTGAAACCACCTTGTGCTACAGGGTAGAACCTTGTATCAAAACAAACACAATTACAACCAGTGCTACCCTCTGGGCAAAATCCCAAGTGTTCAGACACAGAAAAATGTAAAAGAAAAGAAATTATGTGGCCTTTGCCTAGCATGTATGACCACTGAATTCAAAATCTAGTACTAACCCCCACCCCACCAAAAAGGGGTGAAAAATTAAAATCTTTGGCTTGCTTTTTTTTTTTTTTTTTTT